AGAGAGAGAGAGAGAGAGAGTCGAGGTAGGTGATGACCAGATCTTGGAGGGAGACATTGACATGACCACCATGCACTCACGCTAAAGATAAAGGTCCGCAACAACAAAGGCGCATTCGCCGTTAATTCCAATATCGCCCCAGGCCAATCACTCACTCAACTCCAATCATCGATCCTCATACCCGCACCGACGATCCCGGCCGCCTCGTGCTAACTCCCACCATTGCGATAGTCACCCTGATGTCGTAAACTCGACGCGGTTCGCCCAGATCCCACAGTCCGTCGTGGCGATCCAACGCACAACCGGCCAGCCTATTGTCAACCCGACAGGACTTTCCGACTCGCATCAACACACTCTACCTAGCCACTCCTTCCCGGAAGCAGGCTTAGGAGTCGAGAACGTAAGAGAGATTTGCGGACGCGCTAGCGGGTTTTATAGTTGAGACAGGTAAGATAGAAGGGGGAGAAGGCGACAGGAAAGCTGAGGTGCAAGAGGAGAAGCAGGAGGAGAAGACTTTGAGAAGAGTGTTCTACGAACGCCATGTTGATCCCTCGGAACTCAAGGTTCAACCAATCAGATTCGTCGCGCGATAGGTATGTCCTATCGATCCACGCACCTGATTGGCGAGCGGGAGTTATCGAGGGATCGACCGGGCGTCGTACGCCAGACTCAGGGGGTGAGAAGAGAAACGGCGCGAGAGGTGGCGCAAGACGGGTCCAAGATTCAGACGATCAAGAAATAGAAAAGGACGCGCGAACAGCAAGGCGGGGGAGGGAGGGAGAGAGAGAAAGAAACAGTTACGGGGAGAGAGAAAGAGGAGGAAGAAGGAAAGGGAGCGCGGGAGTGAGCGATACAGGGGGCCAGAGGGGAGGAAGCTTTTGCATGCACGGTGCCGTTAACAAAAAAAAGGAAAAAGGCACCGAAACAGTTACAGCTTGCTTCTATCCTAATTCAAAATTGAAATCACCATATCCGCGCGCGAAAAAGGGACGCGGGAAAAGAAAAATCCTACGCCTATTCGTATTCACGCAAAATTCCGAGAGTTTTCCCCGACGCGCCCAAGAACATTCACACACTCGAAAAGGACACGTCGGAGCTCCGCTTATTCCGGAATTCCCAACTGCTGAGCCCAATTCCCAGTGCGCTCGCTAAGGCGTATATAAAATTCCATGTACCCAGCAGTCGAAAAAGCTCTAAAAAAAAAAGGAAAAGGCGGTACCCAAAAACAAGAAATCAAAACGGGTCTTTGCTGGGGTTGGTATGATACAAGCAAAATAAAGGGTACGAAAAATAGCACGGGGTCGGAAAGTGGTTCGTCACATATGTGATGCGCAGGGGGTTCCAAAATTATGCGATCTCCTGATTGCATGTCATGGCGAAGGAAGGAGGGGAGAACAGAGTGATGCATGAGGAACCAAGCGTATCAACAGAGCAAAGGAAGTACAAGGAACGATAGCTGAGTCGCGGATGAGATGGCGACAACATCTGTGGCAAGATCTCCACAGCCCTGTCATATGCAACCCTCTGCCTCGTGGAGATCATCCAGGTGACGCCATCATGGTCCACGTGATCTCCGTGTGCGATGGACCCCTGCTCGTTGCCGTCCGTCGAATCGGCGCGTAGGTTGACGTCATCGTCGATGGCGTGGTCTTCGCGAAACTTACTGATTCGTGCCGATGAAGGGAGGAAAAAAAAAGGGGGGGGGGGGCGTCAAGTGAATGGGGTCTACCGCCTAGTTGGAATAGGCCAGTAGAGGCGGTACATGCCGGGGATTTCGGGGGGAGGACGGGGGGGGGGGGGGGGTAGGAAGCGATTCATCCCTTCCATCGTCACCGGGAGCTCCTCATATCCGATGATTTGGTGGAAGCGGGGGAAATGATCGCCACTGCGGGGTAGGGAGGCGAGGTAGTCGCGATAGAAGGAGGAGAGGGTACGGAAAAGCGCCGCTCAAAAGATCTCGGAGTGGCGACAAGCGAGGATTGTCCCCGTGGCGACGCAGTAAACTCTTACCACGTTGCATTGCTCCCATGCAGCGCTGAACAGCAGGAGATGCCAGCAGAACGTGGGAGCAGTAGACCGAAGGGAGGCGTGGGGGTAGACGGATGCGAGTAGACGGGTAGAGTAGAAGTCGCGGAAGAGATGGGGTGGAAAGGATGGGAAGGGAAGGTGACGGGCGTACGGATCTGCTCGAGGGTGAGGAAATCAAGGGGTTGGCGGGACAGCGTCCGAGGACGAAGGCCTATCGCCCGCATTGGTACGTGGGCGAACTGGGGGACGGGTGAGGCTGGAGGAGGAGGGGGATCGGCTCTGTCTCCGTCGCGCGGTACTTGAGGTGGCGGCTGCAGGGTCGCCATCTTCGGGCTTCAGCGGCTCTGGATCCCGGGTCTGATCGTTACCGAGGCGCAGGTTAGCTTCGGTGGCGAACTCCAGCTGGCGCTTCTCTGCGACAATTTCTTCGCGTTTTCGCGCCACTTCCGGATCTTCAGCCCCCGTTCCCGTCCGTATTGCTTCCTCCGACAAGGCTTCCCACTCGGACCCGGTTCCTTCTTCTTCCTCTTCACTCAGCTCGCCTTCGCTATGTTCACTATAGCTTCCTTCCTCCGATGTTTCCTCGTCGTCTTCTTCTTCTTCTTCGTCGTCGTCGATCACCACTTCTTCTGCCCTCGGGTAGAAGGCGAGAGGGATGATCTCGTACGGCTTCAGGTACTCCTGCCGCGATGGTAGCGTATCCTCGTCCCTAGGTTCCTCCAAGCATGAAGTCCACTGAAGGTACGGATCCAAGGATCGCTCGAAAATGTACGGAGCAGGACTGTTGTCACTTTGAAAGTAGATGTCGGGCGAGAGATCGTCTGCCAATTGCACGATCGGTGCGATGAGCTCCAGTGCAATCAGGTGGCATCGACCCGGCCGCACTGATCCGAAGAGAAAGCCGAGAAGATCTTCTTCCACGTTAGTCTTCCAAGCCTGTATGCTCAGCAGCTCCAGATTTTCAATCCACGCGGGATGATCGCTAGTGCCCGTCCACATCACCTGTACTCTGGCCAAGCAGAAGGACAGCTCCTCGCGCCACAACCGCCAATGTCCAGGGTTGATAAGAGGGACCGAAAATGGCTCGAACGAGAATGAGAGAGAAGGGTGAAGATCGGATTGCCAGAAGGTGGGGAAAAGAGAGGGAAGACCAAAGATAGAGAGGGGGGCGAAAAGATTGGCGTGGTTCATTGGGGATGGGGAAAGGGAACGAGGGTGGGAATCACAACTGGCCGCTCGCGCGGTGATCGGTGAATGTCGTCAATATCCGGTGTAGAGATCGGAATGATGTTATATCCATCTTGAGCGAGGACGTGCTGCCACACGTTGGACACTTGCTGCGTTCACTCACGCAGCGAGGCCAAGATCGTAGTATGCCTCAGCGGATTAACCGAGCTGATGTCGCCGGTGAATGCCGCCACTTTGGTGACGTGGCTAGTTTTGGGACCCGCTCGCCGATGAACTGCGGTTATCTCCGCGAACATTATCGCGTGAGGGCTTCCTTCTATCCGAAACGAGGCGGCGGCACAGATACCTTCGTCGCAGAAGAATCGCATCAAACGACGAAGATCCGTATTGAGCCGAGGGTGACAAACTTGCCGAATCTCTGAGATGTGGCCACGTGGCTGCCGCAACTGTGCGTCAAGAACCCACTCAGTGATAAAACTCATGGCGAGGTCGGAGAGGAGAACGGGGGACAGGAGGAGGGAGAAAGAGGAGCGAGGGTTAGATCGTCGTCGTTATCCTCGCTTTCCGAGGAAGAAGAGGGGGGGAGATCGGAAGGAGGAAGGAGACGGAGGTAGGAGGTATGCCGGACGATGGGGACGGAGCTATGGCTGGTGCTAGCCTCAGGCGCGATGCGCACCATGTTAGCGATGTTGGGTCCGAGCTCGACAACGCGAAAACAAACAGAGAACTTGGGAGCGAGTTTCCGGTCGCGTGCACATTTACGTACCTCAACTAGGTCCCCAATTTATATTGGTACTGGGGCCCAGCATTCCCGTTCCGAGCCTCATAGCTACGGACCTGTCTACCGTGGGCCATTTCGGTCATCCTTTGCCTTTTTCGGGCTAGCTTCGGAACGGCCCACTCCATTAAGTCAGTGTACCTTTTGGCCTTGGCCTTGAGGCAGCACGCGTGTCTCTTCCCCCTGCTTCGGCAGTTTCCGAGTTACCCCAGTAATCGACACAGGGGAGACTATTAGTTCGAAGATGAAAGGGGGTGAACCCCGTAGACTCGTGAGGGGTGGCCCGGTGGATCCCGACGATCTGATATACGATTTCGGGCCAAGGACGCATGTGTGCCGCTAGGTTTCTGCGAAGGGCGGTTTTAATCATACGGTTGGCAGTCTCGGCCAACCCGTTCGACTGGGATACGTGGGGTGCCGTATGTCGGAGCGTGACGCCCCTTCGCGCAAGTAGTTCTTCTACCTCACCTTTAAATTCAGATCCATTGTCGGTTAGAATTTCTTCCATATCTAGATGGGTATAGAGGAACCGCTCGATGTACGTGGTTATTTCTGCGGCCTTCCGGGTCTTACAGGGATAGACTTCGATGTACTTGGAAAAGTGGTCAATTAATACTAATAAAATAGAATATTCATAGCGGTTTGGGTGAGGTGGTACGTCAATATCTGTCGTGTCCATACTGACTCGCTGGAAAGGACGCTCAACTTCCGTTGGTACGATCATGTTTGGTCCCCGTATAGGGGCGCGATCAGCGGCACAGACCAAACAGTTAGCGACAATGTATTTGACATCATCTCGTATATTGGACCAGAACCATCGGTTCTGGTGTACAGTTGCCACCGTGACACGTATCGCAAAATGAGCGGCCTATTCCTCGTGAGCAGATCAGATCCAATCGTATCTCTGGAAGGGATGGGGAACCGTTAGCCACGAACCCGATCCGTCAGTTTTACGATTTTCCAAATGACCGTTGATCCATCGATAGTCCCGAGATCTCTCCGTCGCCCTACGTCTGTCGTGTTTGGTGAGGTGGCCCAATGATAAACCTGCTAATTTCGCCAATAAAATTTTATCCGTCCAGACTTCCGCCCGTCGATATTTTTTGTCGTATTCAGGACTGTCCGTACGGGCGGCCTCGAATCGAACCTCCGTGGGGAGTTTGTTCGTTCTACAGAGGGGGCACCTCCATTCCTTGCTACTCGTTCGATATCGAACGCAAGCTCCGTGCGCTCGATTGACGCATGTGGCATATTCCACCCAATCGATAAATCCGGTCTCGAAGGGATGACAGTCGACCCCATAAACCCGTGCAATACAGGTGCAAAAATAGCAGAATTTATCGGGGAGGGTGTCGAAGAAAGCTGAGGAAGTAAGAGGGGCAGAATTAGTACTAGAAGAAGGGGTTGTGGAGGCAGGCGAGGTAGTCATTATGACAGAAGGGGAGAGACGAGACTGAATTGTAGAGAGAGTAGAGCAGGCAAATTAGTCCTCGTGTCACTTACTGCTTCGACAAAATCTCCACTTAGCCGTACCGAGGTCCAATCTTCTGCTTGGGTTCGTTCCACGGAATCACCTCCTCATTCTTCGGAACTTTCTCAGGTCGGTGCAGTCGTGTCAATCCATCCGTATTCCCATGTCTCTCGTGCTTCCGATGACGGATGTCAAAGTCCATGCTCTGCAGCACCGTTGCCCATTGCCCGATCATGCCCGAGTAATCCTTCGACTTCCTCAGAGCCAACAGGGGCTCATGATCAGTCACCAGGGTGAACTTTCGCCCATACAGGTAAGCACGAAAGTGACTGATTCCCCAGAGAGCCGCATAGCATTCTCCCGTCGGAGCGTCATAGTTGCGCTTGCAGGCGAGCACTGATTTGGACGCATATTCCACCACACTCTCGAGTCCGCTTGGTCCCACCTGGGGAAGGATCGCCGAAATCGCCTCTGGCTGCCAGTCGGTGATGAGAACAAAAGGCTTTTCGAGATCCGGTCTTATAAGCACCGGAGCCGAAATGAGAGCAGCCTTGAGTTTGGGTAACGCTTGATCGCACTCCGGCGTCCAGATCAACGGCTGATCCTTGCGCATGAGATTTGTGAGGGGTCTCTCAATCGCCGCGAAGCCCTTGATAAATCTTCGGTAATACGAGGCGAGGCCCAGAAAGGCGCGAACTTGCGTGATAGTGGTAGGCACTGGTGCGTCCCTGACACCTGCCACCTTCTGCGGCTCCGGTTCGAGTCCCTTGTCTGTCACCACGTGCCCCAGGAAAGAAATGGTGGTGAGGAAAAACTGACACTTCTCAAGCGCCACCTTGAAACCTGCATCTCGTAACGCATGCAGTGCCCATTCGATGTGCTGCACGTGTCCCTCGTAGGAACTCGAATACACCAAGATGTCATCCATGTACACAATCACGCAATAGTTGATGATGCTCTGTGCCAAACGAGTCTTCTGTACAAAATTCTGAAAAGCCATGTTCATAGCCCGCTGAAAAGTTGCAGGGGCATTGCAGATACCCATCGGACATCGAACCCATTGCCACGTGCCTTCGAAAAGCACAAACGCTGTTTTCGGTCGATCTTCCTCTCGGACACGAAGATGATGGAACCCATGACGAACATCAAACTTGCTGAAAAACCGAGCACTCCCAATCGCATCCAATAACTCATCGATCCGGGGGAGGGGATACACATCTTTAATCGTGATATCATTCAGCTTTCGATAATCAATGCAAATGCGAATCCCCCCAGCCTTCTTGGGTACTATCACTACAGGAAAAGACCATGGTCCTATAGCAGGTTCGATCCATCCATTGGCTTCGAACTCCTTAATCCGCTGAAAGGCGGTCGCTCGTTGAGCTGGCGAGTATCGGTAGGGAGCGCAGCTAATGAGCGGATGATCTCCCGTGAGAATGACATGTTCAATTACATTAGTTAACCCATTATCATTGTCATGCATGCTCAGCACTTCTGCTTAACCATTCAATACACAGATTAACGACTTTCGTAGTTCCGCGAGAACGTGACTTAGGAGGGGGATCGTCGATTCCCCGGACATATTAAGGGGCATATCGATCCAATCAACCAGCCGTTCCCGCCGCTCATGGACACTAGAGAAAATGGAACTACTGGCGTGAACAGAAAAGACAGTTGCTATCATCTGGGACTGAGCGGGGCTGATCATCTCCGTTTCTTTAGTTTCAGCGTCAGTCTCTGAACCAACCGAAGTCGGTTCCACAGTTAGCTTTGTTAGATCCGTCATTTCTTGCATTAGATTTGGCACGTCACTTACCGGTATTTCCGCTTCTTGTTTAATCAAGGCGATGGTGGCTCCTGTCGTTAGTAATGATCGGGGTGGAAAAATGGAAACGTCCAAATACTGTTCCGTCTGCTGATAACGCGTTCGTAAGAAAAGAGCTCCCTCGTACAAGGTGCGAGGGGGTTCCAAATCATCAGCCAAGTCAGAAACTTGTAATATGGGTTCCCCGAGGAGGACTGAAGGACTGACTTGGGTTGTTAGAGGTGTGAATGCACTGTCTTCAGAATCCACGTGGAAGCTTCGAGCTGTGTCGAGGCACACTCGAAATTCTTCGGGGGTTTCATGTTCGAAAATTTCAACCAGATGCTTTCATTCCTCTTTACTGGGCATCTCTTCTTTGTATTCTCGTTCCCTGATTCCATCCCCGAGGCGCAAGGGGGAACACTCCTCGGGATCAATGCCTCGGATCATCCCAATTTGGGACAAGTTAGGAACCCGTTTTATCGTTCGGGTGGAAACCCGCAAAGGAATAGTCTGAGGCTTTCCCCCAGTTTGTGTGAGCACCAATTGTTTCAAATCGAAATGCAGCCGTGCGCCCACCGCCATCGCCCAAGGTAATCCCAACAACACAGAGTGGGAACGTACATCTATTACGAGTGCGTTAGCAAGGACGTGTACTCGCAGGACCTTTACAGCCGCGTTCTCGATAATGCCTACAATGTTCATTGCTTCCTTGTCAGCAGAGACATAATTGTCTTTGCCAGATTGAGGAAGAATGGATTCAACTCGTCCCGTCTTTTTGACAGTATCTAACGATATGGCCACTGCAGAAGACCCTGTATCGATAAGGGCATTAAACGGCTTACCCCAAACTTCACAGTCACATTCCGCACTTTTCCATAGTACCGGTCGAGCTCGTATGAAGTGATCCTTTTCTGCTAAAGAGATCGCTATTATACGTGCGGCTTCAGGTTCAGGTTCTTTTGTGTCTGGCTCGAGGGGTGCAACTTCCTCATCTTCTTCCTTCTTCTTCAACATCCGTTGTATGCGTTGATAGGTGAAACGCTTTTGATTTTTCTGGCGGTGTTGTAAAAGTTTATCGTTCGTCGCTTCACATATGGTGAGCAGATGCCCTACGGGGATAGGAACGCGGATGTCTAACTGCTTAAGCGTTCTCAGTACATCAATGTCTCCTGTCCGAAACTGCGGTCCTGGATTGGATTCACGATCGACCCACTCGAGATCATCTAGGACCGATCGGATCACTCCGATCATGCCTGCGAGATGGAGATACTCGAGGGGATCGACCACGTCAGCGGCGTCAGAGGAAGAAGCTCCTGAAGTTGATGCCGTAGCTATCGAAGGGGAAGGCTGCTCTGTGGCGTATGCCACGAGTTCTCTTCCTTGATCCGTATCCATCAAAGCGGCTACTCGTCCTTGATTAAGAGCGACGGGGGCCGCAGCGGGGGGAGGCTGACTACGTTTCGGCTGCGGAGAGTCCCGGGCGAAATGCCCTAGCTGCTTGCAGTTACAACATTCGATCTTCCCTGCTGGATTAGCTAGATGGGGGAACTGAGGCGCGAACCCTGGAGCAGGCGGGGCAGGTAAGAGTGGAAACGATGCAGGGGCAGGCCGAGCAGGAGCTGGGTAAGGCTTAATGAGCCTGCTTATTATCTGTTCCATCCGTTCCATATGAGCGGCCTGCATTTGGATCAAGTTGCTCATCCATTCGGACTGCTTGGTAGTAGCAGTATGGATCATCTGGGCAAGGTGTAAATTGGTTACGGCTTGCGAGAGGGGTTCATTGGAAGTTCCGCTTCTAACGGCTGCGATCGATTGATTCACCGGGGGAGATGGGGGAGAAGCAGTCGGGATATCGGAAACGATTCCGCCGAGAAGGTCATGGTCGGGGCGGGGATAAAACCATTTGACCGCCTGTAGCCATGATCGCCTTTTGGCCGTTACATCCCGTACAGTATCTGTAATATCCTCGTCTCCCTGACTGATATATTTTTTTGTATCAGCCAAGTCTAGCTCTAACGCTTTAGTGATGATAACCGATAACTGGGTTGTTTTCGGTGGAACCTTTTTCTGCAGTTTCCCTTTCAAGGTCGGACTTCGAAGGTGATCAATAAACAAATCTCGAGCGGATTTCTCGTCTCGCCCAGATTTATCCAATGTGATTTGAAACCGATCAACGAAATCGGGTAACAGTTCCCCTTGTCCTTGGGGCCGATTTTTTAGCACGTACCATGCGGCATCCTAACTAACCGTATCGAATCGAGCCAAGAAGGCCTGCTTGAAGGTATTTTAATCTTCCCAGGTATGTTTTCTAAACCAGTCATGCGATGTATTGCGAAGTAGCAATGTCAGAACGTGGGGAAGATCGGTTGCACTGTAATTTTGAGCTTCAACAGCTTCCAGCCAAGCCTCGGGATGGGTATGGTTAGGGAAGAAGGGAAAGGGGGCAGGGATGCTAACGATCACCCTAGTACCGTCCACCATTGGTATTGCTGGTGCAGCCGAGCTAGACTGAGACCTGGTTACTGGGCAATCTTGACGAGCTAGTTGAGGGTCTCTCCTACCTCTTGCCAGTTCGATTTACTATCATCAGAACCGACACGTGTCGGCTCCGATACCAACCTCACGCCCTGTGCTGTCTTCTGTTCGGAGTGTTAGCTGTGCGGAAAAGAGGCCCAGAAAAACAGCAAGATGGGGTGTGCCAAGGATTTTTGGAAATTGAGTGTGGGGACACAGACGGAATTGAAATCCCCCGTGTTGGTCCGATGGAGCAAGTCGATTGTTTTCGCGCGTCGCAGAATGCGCGCGCGGGCAAGGCAGGAAGAAAGGGAAAGATCCAAATTCAATCCAAAAAGTATTGTCGTGCCTCCCACCGGGTTACAGCCCGTCGTTTAGAACAGAAAGGCTTGGGCACGCTTCGCGTGTCTCGTTGTCGTATCAAGTCTCGTCGTCGTTCGTTGGTTAGTTCCGAGTTTGACGTGGAGGGTCTCAACCGAGTGGATATTTCTTTATGCTCGTCTTCGCTCCGTACACGGTAGTGAAAACCCCTGGACTCGTAGCGCTCAAAACGCTGACATTCGGTGCACAGAGTGCGCGACCAGTGGGGTTCTACTGCCGTCCACGGAATGACGATCAACTCGTTAAATGGCAACAATACCGAGTAAGGTGGGAAATGCGTATCGATAATAACAAACCCGACTTTTACGAACCCCGAATAACGGTTCGACGGAGGGAAGTAATACTGTCCGCCGGTTTGTGCAACGGCTTCTCGTACGTCCCACTCACATACACGTGTCCTTTCCTCACTTTAAGGAAAAGGTCGTGTTGGGATGGGAGATACGTGAGGCTGGCGCCCAATCGAAGGGTACTTGTCAGTCCACATGTCAATCAATCACAAAATATCTTGAGACGTCATTAAGAACAAAAGAGATTCGCGCATCCCCCAATCAATCTTTTTGACACAAGGGAGAGAGCAAACACAGATCAGCTTGATCACGCATAAGGCTACGAGTCCGATTAGTTCAATACAACGTTGGTCTCTGGGCGCCTTGTTTCTCAGGCCCGCCTCGTGGCTCGGCTGCGGATGTCATGCAGCATAGGGCAGATGGCATGTGCAGTGCAAACAGAGCTACATATCTAGACACTCTTGCATTCTTGAACAAAATCCCGACGACAATCGTCTAATCAACAAAAGAGTCACACATTCCATACATGCATTCACTCTGGAAGGTGCGAAAATGAGACATGCACAGGAAAAGAGGGATCGCATTACTCAGTACACACGCATCCACCGTTCACAAGACAAGAAGACAGGGTCCTTGCGTAGGAGGATTACCCAGGAAACTAATGGAAGAGTTCCGGAAGAAGTCCTTTCACACAGAATGCCGACTCATTTCCATTCAAGAGCGGGACAATCATTCAGACGCGTCATAATTCAAGAGGAGAGAGAGAGAGAGAGAGAGAGAGAGAGAGAGAGAGAGAGAGAGAGAGAGAGAGAGAGAGAGAGAGAGAGAGAG